TGCAAGCTGGCAGAAATAAACTGGACAGAATGACTTTAAATGTGACAAAAGCCCATTTTTTTTTCCCAACCCCTAGCCCTCGGGGGGAGCCCCCCCCCCCCCCCCCCCTCCACACATTTTTCATATTTTTTTACTGTCCAAAATCATGTTTCATTGATGTATGCTAAGGTAAAGATCCTAAGTAGTGATGTAACACCATTTCCTGGAACAGTGCGGCGTCTAATAAACAGGTGATATCAGACTGATCATGACTGATCCACGACTTTCTATATGACTTCATTTTCTGGAAGCATCCGATCTCTGTAGAGCCTGAAGACGTGCCAGTAATTAGCTGTTTCTGTTTCTCTGAAACTGGATTGATTCTAAGAATTAGGGGGTCTTGTGTGTTAGATTAAATGCCTGTAGGCCCATATTAACCTCTGTGTGGGCTTCTTTCCTTCCAGAGAGGCCAGTGAATGCAGACCAGCAGGAGCGGACCTTGTTGAAGGGTGTGTTCAGCGTCCGGAAAGGCAAGACGCAGCTGCACAAGTGGGCAGAGCGGCAGGTTATTCTGTGCGGCACGTGTTTAATAGTGGCCTCTGTGAAAGACAGTCTGGCGGGGAAGATGCACATTCTGCCCCTGGTGGGCGGAAAGGTGAGAGTTCATGATCTGAATTTGCATTGACATCTTACTCTCCACAGGATAGAGGCTGCAACCCAAGCTACACTTGCATGTTTGGACCAAGTAAAAACGTTAACATGCAGCTGTAAATCAAATGCTTTGGTATGATAAATACAGACTCATCTCAGTCCAAGGATTGTAAACGGAACGAGCAGGAGCTTCTTAAAGAGACAGGGACCCAATTTCAAGGCATCAGACTTCCTTTGAGTCATGTTTGACAGCATTTTTAGAACCGAAAATGGTAACATAGCTACATGACTGGGCTTTAAAATGTGCCTTGAAAATACACAATGCCACAACTTTGAAGATCATGTGTTATTAAAACAGGATTGGAGGCCATTGACTGCTAACTTATCCAGTGCTCCAACTCACATCAGAAAGAAAACTCTTGATTATTTGACCATGCATCTCTGTCACCGTGTCCTTCCTGTTAGCATTTTCAGGATCCACAAAACTACGTAGACTGGATAACGAAGCCACGACTGGTTCAGCAACTCCAGAAGGGTAAAGGTCAGGCCCATTGTTCCATGGCCAGGACAGAAGCTACATGATTCCTCTTGGATCCTTTTCAACAACCTGAAATAAACTTCCCCAAGGAAGTTGAGAAATATGATCCCTCATAGCGTGAAAACGGTTTTCATTTCATTTTCTTAAAAACTGGGACCACCATGACAGTCTTGAATTTCTCCAGCTCCGCCTCTTCCACGGAGGAGGAAGATGCTGAGTTGATTCAGAAGATCCTCAAAGCTCTTCTTCTACTTCCTGACAGTATCCTCAGTGTGGGTCTGCAGTTTCCCCTCCTATATATATATATATATTTCAGCTTTTCATTATTAAAGACGAACATTGAGCCTTTGCCTTGGTATAAATGACGTTTCTCTCCACTGATCATTTGATTTGCCATCTGGTTGCACAAACAACGCTTCATTGATCTAATTGAATTTTACTCATGATAGATGTAGATAAACAAACGGTCTAACTTATGACATGCCAAGAGTTAATTAATTTATTTATTTTTATGATTTGCTCTCGCATTTTCCCTCAGCAGATTGTGTGTAACCAAAGACGAGTTGGATCATTAAACTTCTGCTGTATGACTTCAGTCAGCATTGACTTGAAACCCTCACAATATATAAAACTGAAAACAAATCTTAGCATGTCAGGAAAGTAGGCAGTGGGAATGGCTTAAAATCGGTCGGACTGACGGCTTTATTGGTTGTTTTAACTGTTCATTGTGTGTGAAGCGCTAGAATAAGCAATAATAAAGGACCACTCGATATTTCCTGTGATCCAGCTAATATTGGTAACATCTGAACTCAGCATCTCTGTTCTGTAGGAGCAGTAATCATGTATAAAGTCTGAGATCTGTAACATAAACCTGATCATAATTTTTGCTAACTGAATGGAAATGAAGTGTCTTAACGTGTGACTTTCTCTCTTATTTCCACTGTGTCGAGGTTGAGGAGGTGAAGCGGAGGCAGCACTGTCTGATGTTCAGCTCCGCCGGATCGCAGGCGCAAACTTACTTTGTCAATTTCGACACGCTCGCCGACTACCAGCGATGGCACCGGCAGGCGTCAAAAGTAAGCAAGGAACACAGAGCGTGTGGCGGTACGGCTCCATTCTGGCTGATGTGGCTCCCAGACATCTCACTGGCTTCACAAATGAGATGTTTATTAATTCAAGCCCACATGTCTACTTAGAATGTACTTACCTCAGTTTGTGGACACATCTGTTTTTTGTTTTTCTCCAGCGTCTCTCAGCAGGAGAGCATTTTATCTTGTGAGTCACTGTGGATTAGCAAATGCTACTTTAGCATCAATATATTTCTGTATTTGTGTCTTACCCTGTTTTTCAGAGAATGATGTCAACTGCTTGCAGCTGTTTCTCTTCTTGAAGTTCTGCTCTGCTCGGTTTGCTTTGCTTTGCGCATAATATAATAATTACTGGGTGATGTTGTTACAGCTCCTTTCTGGAGCTGAATGATGCGAGAATCTGAGCTGAGCCAGAGCCAGGAAACAGTTTGCAAAAGAAGGAGACCAGGGATAGGAAGTCATAAAAAATACGCAATTAACTACAGATTCATGGTAAATCCACAACTTCTCTCTGCCTCCTGTGGTATGGAGTATTTGCTTAGAAAAGGCCTTTTACTGCACTGTAGTTAGGCAGACATGTAGACCAAAGGGTTTTTGTAGCTACAGATCATGACTGATGAAGCTTTGTGGACAGTTTTTATGCAACACTGCATAAATCGCCTAAACCATTAAGTCAATGTATATGTGCATGAGAGAGCGAGAAAGTCAGTGTGTGCATTTGTATCTTCACAGTGATCTCCCAGGAGGAACACTGAGAATGCAAAGATGAGTAAAAAGCAGGAAACAAAGTTCCCATTAAAATGTCGAGGTTAGAGTATTAAAAATGTAGAATTAGACATTGGTTTAAATTTCCAGCTGGCTTGTCACTTTTTCACTCTTCCCTAAGTCACATGCAGCTCTGGAAAATACAAAGAGACAACTTAAAATGATCAGCTTCTCTGATTTTAGTCTCTTATATTTTAGTAAAATGAACATTGCTCTTTTATTCTATGAACTACTGACAACATGTCTCAGGAATTACAAGCAAAACTTTAGTATTTATTTGCAGAAAATGAGAAATGGTCAAAATAACAAAACGATGCAGCGCTTTCAGACCTCAAATAATGCACAGAAAACAAGTTCATATTCATTCATTAACAACAATATTAGTGTTTTAACTGAGGAAGAGTTCAGAAATCAATATTTGGTGGAAAACCCAGAAGATTTTCAATGAGGCTCAGTGCAGTAGACTCTTAATTTTTTTCATATATATAAATATATAAATAATGATATTGTTTTATTCTGGGCATCATGTATCAGGTTCATTTTCATCAACTATTTTAAATTCATTTTGAGTTTGTGGTTTTAAATCTGTAAACTAAAGTTATTGGTACTTTCTTATGGTTTTTCCTTCTTTAAGGACATTATTTAAGTACTGTATTTATTTACTTTTTAATTTCTAAAGTGACTTGACAATGGCCATGCAGCCCAGCCTTTGCACAGACAGCCTTCTCATCCACAAGCATTACAGAAAGGAACAAACTACCAGAAAGTCTTAAATTTTCCCCCAACCTAATAGACTTTTCTTGTAATGTCAGGAAACGGCTGGTTGAAAATCAGTAGTTTCTGCATTGACTGCATGACTTTGTACAATGATTGCATATTGGGCATATGGAGACTTTCAATGTATGCTTTATATTAGACTGTTTTATTAAAAATGAAAACTAGCTTAAGATAAATCTGGTTCAAAGCATATTTTATTCATATCTTGCACACATTGTCCCTGTTTTGAATAAAGTGACAAAAAAACTAAGAAAAATGCTAGGAAAAAGAAAAAGAAGAAGAAACAAAGCAAGGTCAGAGATGATGCCTTTCAGAAAGCCAGGGGTATAAAAACAGGGGAGGTGATGTAAGTGACAGGGACCAGGGGAATCTGATGTGGGGAGTCTGAGCTGAGGTGCTGAGTGGAAATGGTTTGTGGAAATGAATAAGCAAAGAAAGTACAACAAACAACTGAGCAGGATGAAGATGTTAAAATGATCACCAAAATCTGCTACACAAAATAAACCCAGTATGGCACAGAACCCTAAAACCAAAGAGAAATAATTATCATAGTCTTTAGCGCCATGACAGTCAATATTTCACACAAGGCAAAAAAAATCACTTATCTTTCACCCTTTAGATTAGTTTGTGATTTATCATGGCTTGATGTAAAACGACACTCACGAGGTAGCACTAGCTGTGTAACAGATTATTCAGTGACTAACATTTATCATGTTGTCCTTGCTCCAGATTAAGGACATCCTTCTCTTAGCCTGGGAAACAGATAATGCATGAGAGTTTTAGTTTTATTTGTGTAGACCGGATGTATTTCGCTTCTCTCTCGTTCAAACAAAACTCAGACCAATCACACATATGATGGCTATCCTGATTTGATACTCCTTTATTTCCCTAACTCAGGGTTTCTGCGACATGAGCAACATCCGGCTCTTTGACCTCTTTACAAAGACTCTTAAAAGAATTTGCTTATTTACAATGGAAACCAAATTTATATGTAAAGACCCTAAAAAGGAATCGCTCTAGGGGTCTTCCATTTGAAATTTTTAATTCAATTTAGATTATTTTTGAAGTGAGGAATCCTCTGCTGCTTTATATCCTCATTGCAATTTTTGATGTTTTGAAATAATGTTTTTTTTTTCAGAAGTAAAAAAATAAACAGTCATAATTACTGTATCAACAAAACCTGATGAGTTTTCCAACCGTCAAGGGTTTTTGTGGCTCCAGAAAAGTGTTATTTTTTATAGGTTAGCATTGATGTGTATGTGTCACTTGGTTGTTTCTACATTTGAGTCTAGATTTAGTTTCTGCAAAAAGACTTTATGTTATAACTGAACATATGAAAAGTGAAGTACAAAATAAAGTTGGATTGACTGATTTGCATCCACTTAAGAGATCAAAAAGGTCCAAAGAAGTTGGAGACTAATTATCACTATAGCAAGTAACAAATATATCATATATTTGCTGCAATTTTCTGCTATGTGAAGAAGAATAAAGCGTAAAGAACCATGCAACTTGACCTTTGTCTAATACAGTAGCAGAGCATTAGTACATGTTGCTGGAACACAAGACACGTCAGACATTAGCTTAAGTATTTCACGTATTCCCGTCTCTCTTGTTGTGTGTGTGTTTGCGTGAGCAGGTGGTTTCTCAGACGGTGAGTGTGGTGGACCTGTCCTGCTACAGCCTGGAGACGGTGCCTGAATATCTGTTTTACTGTCAGGACCTCACCCACCTCAACCTGCGGCACAACTTCATGAGGCTGCAGGGGCCTGGAAGCCTGCTTAACCTCCCCAGGTACCTGGAGATTCACACGTTTTCTCAGGATTAGACATTAACACCTGTCAGCTGGAGAACCCAGCATAGCTGCAGCAATGAATGAAAAAAGAAAGAAAAAAAGTTATAACTAGCCTAGCCACCTAGCTAGTCTAGGTGGCTAGGCTAGCTAGGTGGCTAGGCTAGCAACTAGCTAGCACCTAGCTAGCCTTGGTGGCTAGGCTAGCACCTAGATCGATTAGTTGAAGAATGTACTGTATCTAAGCTCTCTAATTTTACTTTTTAAGTTTGAATAATTAACAATGAGAGTTGCAGATTCTTCTCAACCCTGATTTTAAAATCTGATACGGCTGCCTTGCATATAACTTAGCAATACTCGTAGCAAAAACCGGTTTATTTGCCTGTTGGATGATTTTTTTTTCATGGTCTACTGTACAATCTCATTTAGTGGCAGGGTTTTTTTTTACACTTCTTCGCTGCACTGATGAAGCAAACATCATCACGAACAACTCACCTTTTTGGCTTTTAGTGCTCAGTTGCTTCACGTCACAGTCAGAAATTTTATTGACCTTGAAAATGATTGTTTTAACACACCATTAACCAGCTATTATTATCATCATTAAAAAAAAAACAGTTTGGTTGGTTAAAATTATAGAAGTTTTAATTTGTTCTATCACAAAAATAATCTTTAATTTTACTGCGTGTAAAAATACACACAGTGTAAAACGACAAGTTGTTTCAATATGTCGTTTATTTTTTACACACTCAGCTCATATGGCATTACTCTATATAACATTTGTATGTGAACCAATATAGAGCATAAAACTACAACAGAAATGTGAAAAGATTTTTATCTGATTGCCATCCATTACCAAGGACAGGAATTCAGCTGCTGTTCATTTCTGCTCTGGTTGTTCTTAAGTGATGTGTCATTAGAGCGGCTGTAGGTAATGACTAGTATCCGTTTTAGATCCCCTTGTCTGCCTACAGCATCACTCGGCAGCCCTTTGTTTGTAGATATTACCATTGATGAGAACTTGATGAGATACTTGCTGAAAGCAACACTTGAACATTTAGATTTTACTGTTAAAAAAAAGTATTTTTTGCAAAAGAGCTCATAGTACATATAGAGAATGAAGCAATAACAAAGATGTCCTAAAGGCTAAACAAGCATTTTTTTTCTTTCTCTTTAGGTTTTCCCAGCTGAAGAGTCTGAACATATCTCACAACCGTCTGGGTGTGTTCCCTGAGTGTGTCGGTGAGATCCTCTCTCTGACCGAGCTGAACCTCTCCTGCAACAATCTGCACACCATCCCTGTTCAGATCGGCAACCTGCAGAGGTCAGAGACACATCTGCAGCACACGTGACATACACAGAGCCTATATGCAAAACATAGCATGTGATTAGCATGGTTAGTTGTAGCACAAAAATACTGTACAGCAAATAGGATAAACTGTTCTATCCAGTTTTAAGAGCAACATGCTGCACAGCCTGCGAGAAAACACAAATATATATATACCCAGATAGCACATGATGTTAAATCAACGTTGAAAAATAGTTAGAATCGTTGAT